CAAAGCTACTTATGTGCCCGCGGAGGGTGGTCATTAACTTGATCACGATAGTCACAGCGGCGAATTCTGCTACATAGCAGCAGAAGCAGGCATTTCTGTGTGTTGCTTATATTTTGCCTCACATTAAAATGTAGATGCAGGGTGATCTATGAAATCCACCGTGCCTTTCACACCCTAAGATGATAGACAAATAAAATAAAAATGAACAGGTTAGAGCAATAAGACAGGTGAAGAGACAGTTCACACAAAACGGACAAGCAGGTTTTCCTTGGTGGCGAGTCGCTGTAAAAGGATGGGGTGACTTTTTGGGCTGGGAATACCAGTGCCCTTCGGTCTGCTTTTCTGTAAGGAGGTGGTCCAGAAGGAAGAGTTTTCACCGAGGTGCCCGGGAAGGTCTGCATTTGTTCAATCAGCCGCGACAGGGTGGCTCCGGTTGAATGGTAGAACCACCTGAAGGCAAAGACAGACTTAGAACAAGCGCTTTTTGGCTGTAAAACGCCACCGTGCTGAGAGGCATTTCAGTAGCAAAACTTCCAAGGGCCAGAGATAATATTTATCTTCCTACAGGATGCTTGTCTGAACTGTGTAGTATCCCAGGACTGTACTGTCTGTGAGTCAGGAAGACAAATAATTACGTTGATAGGGTACCTGGTTTCCAGTTCCAAAGCTAGAGAGCCCCTGGCGACTTGAAAAGGGTGGGTGGTTTTTTTGTTTTGTTTTTTGGTTTGCTTTGTCCGGTTTTGTTTGGGGGCCCGTGAAATATTCGCGTGGCTTAAAATTCAAAGAGTAAATCAAGTTATTCTATAAAAAGTCTTCTGCCTCTGCCAATTTCAGTCCTCCAGCTACTCTCAGATCCCAGTAATGCTGGTCACTGTCTTTCTTATTGTTTAGGCATGTCTTAGTCTCTCTGCAACTTTCTCCATGGGCCAGCCTAGGACACAAGGGTGTCCTGACTCCAGCTACGGGACATCCCGTGGGGTGACCTCTGCTGCACAGGACTGAGTGGTGGCCAATCCCAAGAGGTGTAGGAACACATGTGCCTCGAAGCAGCAGGCACCCACCGTGCCTGATTTTATCGCTCTGCACCCTGCTGGCCGGGCGGTTAAACGTCTTGCCAAAAACTTTGCAAAGAACGAGAGATAACATCCTGTGTGGGTGAATATGGCTCTATCTCCTTGACCAACTTTTCTGAAAAGGTAACATAACTGCAGCTTTGTTCCTGTCCAGGGAGCTGGATGGCAGACGCATGGACTGCTGTAGTCAGTGGGGCTTTAGTTTATGGGGTGGGGGTAACCCGCACTTACACACACACAGGCCCGAAAACTTGCTCTTTGTGTGTGTGATAAGCCCTCCAAGGCAGGCTCCTAACACCTAACACCACGTTGCCCGACACCCTCCAATGGACTTTCTCCTAAGGACTCTCCAGGATGTCTGGGCAGCTCCGTGAGGGTCCCCTGTCCACATGAGGTATTGTCCTCATCTTCACGAAGCTAGACTTTCTCTAGGCGACAAGAATTCCATGTATGAAACACGGACAGTACTTTAAATAAAGCGATCAAATAAGATGGGTGTGAAGGGGACGCGGTTGAAACAGGGCTGACCACCCCTGTTTCATCTAGAGATGAAATCTTACCCGTTTCTAAATGTCCTGAGTTAATCTTGATTCGTAAGGCTTTAGGGTATCGGCTTCCTCCTCTTCTTGGAAATCTTCTCTATTTTCCGTTGGGCAATGCCCTTCTCACCCCGTCGACTTCCCCCAGCCCCAGTGACTACCCCGTCAGGATATTCCAAATAGGGCTTTCCTGGGAGGGGACAGGCAGCCCTGCCTAACTGTTACACTTTGCTACACGGAGTATATTTTTCTTCTGGATTCAGGAAGACGGGCAGCTCAGCTGTGTGCCAGGAGCCAGCTAGCCCCTGGCAGGCCTCCCATGAGCTTTGACAGTCAGGGACCTTGGCAAAAAATAGGTGACCTTGAGCAGAACACACGCAGTGAAGGCCGGCAGGATTTCCCCGGGTTGGACTGCAGGTGATCATGATCTTGTGTTACATTGTCGATTTTTTAAAGCTACAGCATGGATTTCCCGAAAGACAGCGTTTCTCTTCCTTCCTGGCAGTAAAGGGATTGTGCTGATGGACTGGGTTTCAAGTTCCCTCTTGGGGTAAAGGAAGATGAACGTGTAAGAATCAGCCTGACTCGTGTGTGTGTATTTTTATTATAACAAGAGTCATGTGTTTTGCCTGGAAACAAACAGACAAACTCTACCCAAGATTGTCGATGTTAAAAAATTAATTTGAACCATACATGGCTTTGAACGAGGAATACCATTCTGAGTGGATGCTTCGCATGAAGAATTCGTCCTGGCCCATCATGGGAGGACTTTGAATGAAGCGGAGGAGCATGCAGTAGGTAAGATAACAGCTGACAAGTTCAAATTACTACCTCCGAGGACCCAACTCAGTAGAGGAAAGATTGCACCGAGGGGGAGCAGAGTCGACCAGCTGACCCCACCGTGCAAAGACAAGGCAAGTGTGGGGTGCACAGGATGATTTCTTAGAAACATTATTACTGGTAGAAAAGAGTCAGGCAGCATCCACGTAGCTCTCTTTGCAAGTTTAGACAGAAATGGTGCCGTTGGGTTGGCCACGTGGAGAAGTTTGCCAAGACCTGGACTTGCCATTTAGGACCTTCCGCCTTAGGGCTGTGACTGTCCAGGAAATGGCTGCAGCATTGGAGAGGGAAGGACATTCGCCAGATGGCCGGCAGCTCAGCAAAGCTGCTGACGATACAGCACAGTGCACGAGGCTTCCCTGGGTCCAGGTTTGAATCTCAGCTTCTGGGAAATGAGTTCCCGCGTGACCAAAGGCAATAAACTAACATGCATTCATACAGAGAAATGAGAGTTCACAGGAAGCTAAAGTCCTTGTGCCAACTGGACAACCCACTCTACTGCTTGAGAAACCAAAACAAGGCTATTAAGTAGACCATGTGAGCAAAGGGAGGGAACTGAGGCTAAAGGTCAATGTCATCGAGCTTTGAATACCTGCCGCTGCCTTCTCGCTAACACCTCTGCCAAGGGACTGGCTTTCTCACTCAGGTGGGTGAGTTCCAGCATCCTGGCAACCCTTTGGAAGGCTGGAGAATCCTTTCCGGGGTGTCTGTGAGGTCAAAATCATTCTCTAATAATACTAAGATGTTATCTCCGTTCTTACTGTTCTTGTCTCCCAAGGGCGTGGTGGAACTTTCCAGAGGCTATGTGACATGATAATACCACTCTCACAACTATTGAAAGGCGTGCTTGTGGTATCCTTAAAATTTCTCCATTTCAATTTCTAATACGATCAACATCAGTAGATAGGGCCCACATTTTTTATACGGTCTTTAAGGCTCTCAATATTTAACAGTGAAAGGTTCCTGAGAACAGGTTTCACGACCACTGATGCAGACCACTTTCTCACGCACACGCTGGAACTCAGGCAAACACCAGGATGCTGGTCTTTTGGGTGAGATTTTCAAAACACACTAGAACTCTAGGTGAAGATGTCTTAATGAGATTAAGAGAGCATTTGATCTCACTAGGCTCATAAATTCGGATGACCTCAGAAGCTCCAAATTGCTGCATGGGTATTCATACCCAAATCCTCTTCCTGGACATATTAATTTGAAGAAGAAAGAGAAAGAGAAAGAGGAGGAGGAAGAGAAGGAGGAGGAGGAGGAAACATTTTTATCTATGATTTGTTTGAAACATTTTTATCTATGATTTGTTTGTCCTTTGCCAATTATCTTATCTAAAATGGATAATTCGTGCACACCCTGAGAGGAAGTATGTACTATTTTTGGAGTTCTTGAACTCTAAAGGAACTGAAACCAAGAATCATAGCCTACCAGGAATATAGGGCAATCAAGCTAGTTTTTCTGGGTTTGTTTTTTTTTTTTTTTTTTTTTTTTGGTGTGTGTGTGTAATGAGGTCAATTTAAGCATAAGGCCATTTGTTAGAGATTTCTGAAGCCCATTCTTCAAATCGAGTCATCACAGAGGTTGGTTCTCACACGTTGGTCCAGGGCCCACTAACCTCGGGGTTCCACAAGGCCGTCGCCCCCTGAGGAATGAAGGGGCCTTTTCTGTATGAGCCCCCCTGCAGCTGGGCATGGAATTCGTGCTCATAAATATGACACATAGAAGCCCAGAGCAGTGGTTCTCCACCTTCTTCCTAACGCCTTGCCCCTTTAATACAGCTCCTCATGTTGTGGTGAACCCCAGCCATAAAATTATTTTTGTTGCTGCTTCATAACTGTAATTTTGCTCCTGTTATATCTTAGGCGACCCCTGTGAAAGGGTCATTCAACCCCCTAAAGGGTCGCGACCCACACACTGGCCTAGAGTTTTCTCTTGCCTCTCTGACATAGCTGATACGTGGACCAGGACAGACCTGGAGAGACATCTGCAAACTAAACTAACCCAACCACAAAACGCAGCATTTGGTTTGCATTTGACTGAACAGAGATTAGATGAACATCTGATACAGGTGTTGTGAGGAGGGCAACATCAAAGTCACAGTCCCCTCCTCGAGGGTTACAACTGACCACGGACCTTTTCCAGCTATGGAATCGCAGAATCCTCTGCCGTCTGCCAGTTAACTGACAGAGAGAAGGACAGAAGGGTGACCCCCACTTATCTCCTTTATTTTTCACAGGCTGAATTCCTGAGGGACCCCCAGGAGCCGTCCCCGGTCCCCTGGCCCGAAGGAAGAGCTAAAATAATTTTCACGGAAAACTCACGTCTTAGAAGCAGAAAAAGTGTTGTCTGTTATAACACAATCCAGAGTCCTTAACAAACTAAAATGAATGGCATTCAAAACGTTCCGTTGTAATCAACACGCCTTTATGACCGTGTACATCAAGCCGTTGGTCTTTAGGACAAGGGTGTGCGGGCGGCAGGGGGGTGTCCAGCCACTCTGAGGAAGGCAGCGTTGACTCGTCTTTCTGGTGACAAGAGGAAGTTACGAGAAGGAGCCAGTGTCGGAGTCCGGCTTGTCAAGGTTGTTTGCCCTCTGAGAGTCTGGGACAAATGCTTTGATCACTCGCTGCCTGGCTGTCCTGCCTGTTGGCTGCCGGCCGGGCGAGGAAGGGCCCTGTGCCTCCTGCAGGGTGTGCCAGGCGTCCGACAGCAGCCGGTAGAAGGCGGCCGTCCTGGGGCCCAGGATGGGCAGTCTGGAGGGCGCGCTCTCCCGTTCGCCACGCAAGGACGGACAGCGCTGCGTCGACTCTAGTTTTAAAGAAACTCAGAATAACCAAAGGTCACCAAAGACTTCTTCAACCCTCCGAACCAGATTCGAAATTCATGTAAGGATTCCCTTGAACGGCACCATCCCCCCCACCCCCCAAAAAACCTTCAGTGTTTGCAGATCCCATCAGAGAGGCCAGAAAGGGGTGCCTAGAAGCCAAACTCAAGCATGAGTAGTCACAGCTGATTAAATTTAAAGAACGAAGATAAAAGGTGTCCGAATTTGTCATGTGAGTCAACGAGTAAGAGGATTCCATTCTCAGAGGACTTTTCAGGGACCCGGATCTGGTTCTGCTCGTCAAACAAACAAGCCTGATGGGACAGAAAGGCCACAGGAGGGGAAAGGGCTCGCCTGTCCAAAGGAACCTTCGTTTACGAAATAATTTGTTTTGGGACTCCTCAGAATCCGTACCCTCCTGACCGCTCCGTCGAATATTATTTTATTTACGCAAAGTTAATATTCGACTTTCCCAAAAGACATGTGGTTTACAGGAGAGCAAACCAGTGTGTGAAATAACATCTTCCCACGGGAAGTCACTGAGTGACGAAGGGACAGAGACCCGAATTCTCTGGGACCAACTTCTCCGTCCGACTGAATGAAAGCTAAGAGATGTCACAAGATGACACACCTGGGGTCCAGTTCGGTCTCACTGTTGTGATGAAGAGGAGACAGAGGTCCAGGGTCATGGGCACGGATGGACCGAGGCCCAGAACCCAGGGCTCTTTGTACCATGTTACACGCTGTGCCGGGCGGTAGGTGTCGTCTCCACTCACGTTCACCGACCGGAGCCTTTGAGTGTCATGGAACTATGGGCTCGAGGCCCGAATCCACGCAAACGAGTCCGGAACAAGTCCCTCCCTCTCACGGACAGAGACAGGCTCTTCCATTTACTTAGTTCTCCCCAATAGTTATCTATCATACATCAAGTTCAGCTGAACCCAGGGACCAAACACTAGGAATTGCTGTTGCAATGGACACAGTGAGTTAGACAATCACTGGCAGTGATGCTGGAGGGATGAGTCAGCCACTTAGCACTTAGTCATGTCGCGTCCACAGGCAAGAGCACAGGTGGTGGCCCGGCGTCAACGGGCAGCACGGGTAGCGGCGGGGACATGCCTGAGCCACATAAATCAGCAGGGCCGGGGAAGTGTCAGCAGTTTCTCCGGGCAGATCAAAGGTGAAGGCTGCTTTGACCCAGGTTCTGGCTCCCTCGGGAGTGGGGGTGGCCAGGTGGGGTGAGAGGCACGACGCTCCCCTGGTTTTACAGGTGGGAACACGGAGGCCCAGGCAGTGTCAACAGTGGGATCGAGCCTGTGCGGGCAGACTAGGATCTGAAGCCAAGTCTCTGCTCCCGGGCTGCTTTTTCCATAACCGCAGAGAGCACGCGCAGCTGCAAAGCTCAGCTCAGAAACGTCACGATCAGACGGACAGCAGACCCGCCGAGCTTCAGCTCCCAGCCAGCTCTACACGCACTAAGTCCCACCTCCAAGGTCTCTGCCCCTGGGTGCACGCGATGGGCGAGAACCAGGCCTTTCGGCTCAAGAACAGGATGTGCTGATCTCGTGTACACCACGTCCAGCTCTCGTGCTGGCCACTGGGATACACTCCCAGGGCTGTGACGTTAATAAAAGGCATCTTAGCACATTGTCCTATAGAATCGGAAGATAAACATTCTTGCTGAGGGAAGGCCGTGTGTGTGTGCGTGCGTGCGTGTGTGTGTGCGCGTGCGTGTGCATGCATGTGCGTGCGTGTGTGCGTGCGTGTGTGTGCGTGCGTGCGTGTTATTCTTTTGTGAGGCAGGCCTTGAAACAACCCCAGGTTCAAGGGAAACTCAGAAGGCACGTGTGGCTGCTACAGAGACCCCTGAAACCAGCTGCACCTGCCTGGCACCCCGTGTTGTCTTGGCTCCGAGAGAGTGAGGTGGTTGCGGACCAGAGGACAGTGGGGGCTTCCGGCGAGAGGTGGCTCTTAGCTCTCGGCTCCGCCGTCCACTTTGGCGAAAGGAGGGCCATGAGCTAGGCCAAAATGTTTGGATTCACAAGAAGGGGTTCTCTGGGATGAGCAGTCTTTCACTCCACTAGAGTGGAGCTCTCCGAACCTCAGTTGTTCCCCGAGTCTCTGGTCCTCGCTTTGGGGACCCTCCTGTGCTCGAATGTCCCTCTCGATGCCTGCTCAGCTCAGTTCTGGCTCTCACCCCTCTGCCACCACCCGGATGGAGTTTACACTTCCCTGCCCATGTGAAGTGAAGAAAGTGACCTCGGTTTTGCTCACTGTGTGTTTCAAATGAAAGAAAACCGGAAGGAGACTTCGGCCAATGAGGGGAAATGAGAAGATGGACAAAGTCTCTAGTGACAGCCTACACGGCACTGGGCCCTTGGTTCCATCACCGAGAGAAAGGCCCGTCCCCACCTCACCGCCCAGTGCTGCTTCTCTAACAGATGAGACTCGGGTCAGTGCAGAAGCTGCAGATGGGGCCACTGTCCCGTTTCCTATCAACAGCCAGTGAACATGAGAACAGCACCGGGCAGCTCCCTGAAGAAGCCAGGTGTTGGAGGTTGGGCGGATGAGGGGTTCAGGGCCGTGGTGAGTCCCTTCCAGGGCAGTGGGGATGCAGACCCTTCACCTGACCTGGCACCACCAGGACTGCCTGGGAAGGGACTGACTTACTTTGAGCCCCACGTCTATGGAAATTCTTCAACAAGTGCATTCTTTAGAAAGAACGGTGCAGAAGTACCTGGTATGGAGAGGCCCCAGGAAGGAGTGTGGTGTGGATAAAGGCACATGAGGCCCCACGAGGGGACAGAGAGAGCTGGTGAAGGGAAGCTGTGGACCCAGCGACACAGGCAAAAAGCAGTATGTGAAGAAGAAAGGGAGAGAGACCCCGAGTAGCCAAATCAATCCTGAGAAAAAAGAACCAAGCCGGAGGTATCATGTTCCCTGACTTCAAGTTATACTACAAAATACAATAATCAAAACAGTCTGGCATCGGCAGAAAAACAGACGCAGCAGACCAATGGAACAGCATTGAGATCCCAGAGATAAACTCACATGAGTGTTCGGGCAACTCATTTTCAACGAAGGAGCCAGAAACAAACCGTAACGTAAGAAAAGCCTCTTTAATAAAAGGCGCTGGGAAAATTGGGACATCGTGTGCAAAAGAAAGAAATTAGACTGCTATCTGACACCGTATACAAGGCTTAACGCAAAGTGGATTAAAGACTTAAATAGAAGACCTGAAACAATAAAATACATAGAAGAAAACATAACATGGGTACTAAACTTATGGACCTTGGTCTCAGAAAGGTTATTGTGAACTTAACCCAAAGACAAGGGGAGAAAAAGCAAAAATAAATGGATGAGACCCCATCAAAGTAACACGTTTCTACAGAGCAAAATAAAACACCAATAAAACATAAAGGCAACCAACCAAACAGGAGAAAATATTTGCAGATGATACCTTCAATAAAGGGCTAATATTCAAAATATATAAAGAACTCATACAACTCAATGACAAAATAAATAAACAATCCAATTTAAAAAATGGGCAGAGGACCTGAACAGACACTTTTCCCATGAAAACATACCAATGGCCAACAGATAGATGAAGAGATGCTGAACTTCACTAGCTATTAGGGAAATGCAAGTCAAAACTACATTGACACCAACTCACATCTGTTAGGATGGCTGTTCTCAGTAAGACAAGAAATAAAAAGTGTTGAAGAGGATGTGGAGAAAAGGGAACCCTCACACACTGCTGGTGGGAATGTAAATTGATACAGCCACTATGGAAAACAAGTAACAAAAAATAAGAAAACAATTTTTGGAGGTTCCTCAAAAAACTAATAATAGAGCTACCATATGACCCAGAAATCCCTCTTCTGGTATCTACTTGGAAAATTTGAAAATGTTTATTTGTGTAGATATAGGTACCCCTATGTTCACTGCAGCATTATTCACAATAGCCAAGACATAGAAACAACTGAAATGTCCTTCGATGGATGACTGGATAAAGAAGTCGTGGTACATCTATAGAATGGAATACTACTCAGTCATAAAAAATGCTGGAATATTGTCAATTGTGACAACATGGATGACCTTGAGAGTATTATGCTAAGTGAAATAAGTCATACAGAAAAGGACAAGAACCAGATGATTTCACTCATATGCAGAACAGAAAACAACAAACAAATAAACAAACTCATGAACACAGACAACAGTATGGTGGTTACCAGAGGGGGCGGGGGTGGGGGAAGAAGAAGAGGGTAAAGAGGGTCAAATGTATGGTTATGGAGAGAGACTAGACTTTGGGTGGTGAGCCCACAACGCAATATAGAGATGATGTATTACAGAACTGTGTACCTGAAACTTACATATTGTTATTAACCAATGTCACCCCAACAAATTTAACTTTTTTTAAACAAGAAAATGTGAATCTGTTCAGAAAATTTAGAAATTATCTTAGGACTTAAACTTTTCATTCTACTACTCTGGGGTAGTATGCCTCATACCACACATACTCCAAAAGAAAGCAAACCTGTTAAAAGGTCGTCACGGGAACACTCGGGTACAGTCTGAGCCTTTGGTGGCTGAAGACTCTTCATTCTGATTGGAGGAAGCAAGGAAACACACGAGGTATTTGGCCAGGGCTTGCTGGAAAGGGATGTGTCCTGACACACGCAGAACAGGGTGGTCTCCAGCCCCTATAGCCTGGTGCTGAGACCACTTTGCAGCAGAGACGACTGGGCCAAACTTGCAAAAATCAAGGACTTCTTAATAAAGTACCAAACTTCCAAGATAAGTAAGTTGAGGCAACAAATTGCAAGAGTCTCTTTCCTAGAAGAGTTGGACTTCTGCTCAGAAATCCCTGACTTTAGATAGTTCAGCTTTCCATGTGTAGTCCGTAAAGAATATTTATTAGAACTGCTTTTATTGTGACTTGACATAAGAACTCTTTGAAGTGTGGAGTCAGCGTAGGTAAAGGTGATGGGTACTGGAGCCCATAATGCTCAAATACACATCTCCTCCACGATCCTGCCTACCTGGGTTTCAATGCACCTGAGTCTACATCTCGACGTGGAACCAATGTCCCTGCGATCACCTACTGCTATCCAACGTAAGGCTACATAAAGACCTATTATTCACCCGCATTACTGCTCTCTGTATGAGGGAAAAAAAAATGTAAAGATTGACATTATATCACAAATAACCCTTTTGGATTGGCCATATATAAGGGTGACTGTATGTCTGTGGTTTCAAGGCGAAAACAACTTTTTGGGTCTAACTATTGGGTTTAACAAAAAAATAAATAAATAAAACCAATCAAGAAGCCCATTCTCTGGTCCTGGCCGAGTAGCTCAGTTGGTTAGAGCATCGTCCCAATACACCAAGGTTTTGGGTGTGATACCCGGTCAGGGCACAGACAAGGACCAATCAATGAGTAAGTGGAACAACAAATCGATGTGGATGCTGCGTGCTCTCTCTCTTTCTCTCTCTCCCTTCTTCTCTCCAAAACCAATAAAAATTAAAAAAGAAAAGAAGTGCAATCTCTAAGCATTCCCTAAACATTCTTATTGTTTCTCAATCCACTATCCGTGTGTCCCCCAAACTAATATAATCAGAATTAAAGTCCTGTCCTGATTTAAACCTTTGACTTACCTATGACTCGTAAGATGCTCAAAGGAGCGTTTCAGATCATCGGGGATCATCATAGTTCTTGGCTGTACCTGAGGAAGACAGTCTCGTTCAGAACACTGTCCAAGACTCCATTCCCATGTTCATGAACAGCGTATGTACCACTTTAGCAAACTCGAGTTGCATGTAATACCACAGCCGTCCACGTATCCTTTTGTGATGTGAATGGGACAGAAGGAACTGCCCGGCTCGCCAGTCAAAGGGTCTTCACCCTTCCCTGGTTACCAGATTTTGGAGTAAGATACCTCAAGATTAGTAAGTCTTCCAATTCTCTTTGGTTAGCTCGTCAGAACATCCTTCAGGGTTCAGGCGAACTATCACTATCAAACACCACTGGCTCCCGGACTGCTTCCTAGTGACCTCACTGTTCCCTAGGCTTGCCCGACCAGAGCATGGTCACCTTCCCATTGCAGCCGCTTGGCTCCCCTTACAGACTTGCAGCTCGGTGAGGGCGTTGACCAGCATCTCTCTGTTTGCATTTCTGGGTCCTAAAGTAGTGCCTGTGTAAGAAATACTTGTTGATCAGGCCCTGGCCGGGTAGCTCAGTAGGTTAGAGTGTCATCCTGATACATCAACGTTTCGGGTTCGATCCCCAGTCAGGGCGCATACAGGAATCAACCAATGAATGCATGAATAAGTGGAACAACAAATCGATGTTTCTCTCTCTCTCCCTCTCCCTCTGTCTCTCTAAAATCAACTTAAAGAAAAAGAAGCGTTTGTTGATGAAATGAGCGGATGAATGCACCGACTTCGAAGCACACCTGGCCGGTCTGAAGTGTGCCCTCCGTACAGCTGTCCCTCGTGACTCACAAGCATAGCTCTCAGAAGGTGCTCCTTCTACACTAAGTAAAGGCACTCCTGGCCGAGGCCCTACTGGGGAGTTTTCTTTTATTGATATTCATCCATTTTATACTTTTATTTCAAAAAATATTTTCTATTGCTAACCTTTTTTTTTTTTTTTTTAAATTGAGACGTAATTCACATACCATAAAATGCACCATCTCAGCGCCCAATTCGGTGGCTCTTAGTATATTAACAAAGGTGCACAGCAGTCACCACTGTCTACTTCCAGAACATGTTCATGGCTCCAAAACAAGGAATCCTGTGCTCAGGAGTCTTTCCTCCTCCCCCAGGCCCTCAGCCACCACTGTCTATTTCCTGTCTCTGTGGATTTATCTACTCTGGGCGCTTCCTATACATGGAATCATACACTATGTGGTCTTTCCTGTCTGTTCTCTTTCAAAGTCCTGTAGCTCCGCGGTGAGTTTTGAAACCAAAAAGTGTGATTCTTCCAACTTTGTTCTTCTTTTTTTCTGGATTGTATTGGTTATTCTGCATCTCGTGCATTTCCATATGAATTTCGAGATCTGTCAATTTCTGCAAGAAAGGCGTCTGGGATTTCGAGAGTGATCGCCCTGAATCTATAGATCGATCTGAGGGTGAGTTGTCATCTTAGTAACATTATGTCCTCCGACCCATGAACGTGGGGTCATTTTTATTTATTTAGGTCTTCTTTCATTTCTTTCTATAGTATTTTATAGTTTGATATATGTTTTACATTAAAAGATTTTTTTTTCCTTTATTGATTTTAGAGAGAGAGGAAGGGAGAGGGAGAGAGAGAGAGAAATATTGATGAGAAGGATCATTGATTGGCTGTCTCTGCATGCCCCCCACTGGGGATCGGCCCACAGCCTGGGCATGTGCCCTGACCGGGAATCAAACTGGGGACCTCTTGGTGCAGGGTCGACGCTCAACCACTGAGCCACACTGGCCGGACCATCTTACATTTCTTTTGTTAAATTTACTCCTGAGAATCTTCATGTTTGAGGCTATTGCAAATGGAATTGTTTTCGCAATTTCTTGGACTGTTCATTGCGAGCATCTAGAATCAAAATTAATTTTGTGCACTGATCTTATGTCCTGTGACTCTGCGGTACTCATTTATTAGCCCTAGGAGTTTTTGCGTGGATCCCTTGGGATTCTCTGTACACGATCGATCACGTCATCTGCAGGTATGGCTTCGCGCCTCCCACCCTCACCGGGATGCCTTTGTCCCGGGCTCACCATTTTCATTTCGCGGCAGGTGGGGCACAGCGGCCGGCTCCTGCCCAGCACGGGGTCACTCTGGTGCCTCCAGGCCTAGGAGAGACAGCAAGAGGTGAGGAAATGCTGGCATCTGGGGCAGCAGGCAAGTGGGAAGTGGGTGGAGGGTGAGAGGTAGCAGGTGCACCTTCCACAAAACGGAGGTGGACACTCTGGCCTCTGCCCGGCCCGAGAGGATGGTGAGTCGAGGCTTGGCGGCAGCCCGGAGGTGCGGAAAGGGTTTAGGCAGGAGGGGCTGAGCCACAGGCCAGGTGGTGGTCTCGGGGTCCCTGAGGCAGCGGCACAGCTCTAGGACAGCTCTAGGGGGGCTGGGGACCGATCTGAGCATGCAGTCTGAGGGGCTGTGCTCTCCCCGTTTTGTGCAAAGGAGCCACTACAGGGACCAGCTGAGGCCTCCGATGGCCTGAGAGCGAGACTAGAAGTCCCCCCTCCACAGACCCTCTTTCCTCAGTCTTCACTCTGGACGACCCCCGCTCTCCCGCAGGCACAGTCCAGCACCCCGTGGCCCTCTGCCCCTGCCCCACCTCTCGAGAATAGAACTGGAGCTCGTGTGAGGGTCCAGAGCTCTCCGGTCTCTGGGGCACAGAGGCCGCCCCAGCCAGGACGAGAGTTCCCGTCTGCTCACGGATCCCGACCTCAGGCTACCGACTGCTCACGGATGCTGCCCTCCCGACCTCAGGCTCCTGTCTGCTCACGGATGCTTCCCTCCCGACCTCAGGCTCCGGTCTGCTTCCCTCCCGACCTCAGGCTCCGGTCTGCTTCCCTCCCGACCTCAGGCTCCGGTCTGCTTCCCTCCTGACCTCAGGCTCCCGTCTGCTTCCCTCCCGACCTCAGGCTCCGGTCTGCTTCCCTCCCGACCTCAGGCTCCTGTCTGCTTCCCTCCCGACCTCAGGCTCCGGTCTGCTTCCCTCCCGACCTCAGGCTCCCGTCTGCTTCCCTCCCGACCTCAGGCTCCGGTCTGCTTCCCTCCCGACCTCAGGCTCCCGTCTGCTTCCCTCCCGACCTCAGGCTCCGGTCTGCTTCCCTCCCGACCTCAGGCTCCTGTCTGCTTCCCTCCCGACCTCAGGCTCCGGTCTGCTTCCCTCCCGACCTCAGGCTCCCGTCTGCTCACGGATGCTTCCCTCCCGACCTCAAACTCAGAAGCTTTCTTCCTGACCTCACTCCCACCCAAGCAGGAAGGGAGGCGTCCAAACATTTCCACCTGCAGCCCGAGGCTCACACCTCTGCTGACAGCGTGGTTAGGGAACCCATGGGGATGAGGCCGCTATTCTGTCTGGGGGTCTGTGCTGTTCCGTCTGGGGGTCTGTGCTGTTCCGTCTGGGGGTCTGTGCTGTTCCGTCTGGGGTCTGTGGTATTCCATCTGGGGGTCTCTGCTCTTCCGTCTGGGGGTCTCTCTCACCCTCCTCATTCGCACTGACATCAGAGTTGGAGACACGCTCCCAGGAAGCGCAGACGATGGGGGAGGAAGGCCCAGGGACTGGCGGACGATCCCTCTGCGCAGAAGCCTCTTCCTGCCCCTGCACCGGCTGTGACACCTGTGCCCTGACCTGTCCCTGCTGCCTGGGAGTGTGCCCAGCAGGAAGAGGAGGGACATATTCAAGCCGCGTGGGGAGTGCCCGGGTGCTCCTGACGTGACCTTGGCCCGGTGGGTCTGCGTGTAGCTTCCCCTGTGAGCGGCATAGCCCGTTACTGGGGTTTTGAGGGTTAGCAATTATGGATAAAGTTGGGTTCTTCTGACAAATACTTGACATACATTTCATTTTTATAGACCACTTTGAAAGAATGGACCGCACGCCCGTGGGGGGGTCGCTATGCTACAGCGTGAGCGAGAATGACTAGACTCATTCATTCGACAACAACACGCGTACTGTTGGAGGGGCTGCGACAGGGTCACCAGGGTGAACAGGACAGTTTCTGGCCCCAAGGAGGAGCGGGGAAGAACACACGTCTGTTCATTTCCCATTCATCAGGGGCTGCGCACACGGATATAAGTCACAGTGTCTCATGTCACCAGCCAGCAGACTGGACGGTGGTGTGGGAGGCTCTGGGTGGAAGGTACTGGGGCCACCTGGGGGGGCGGAGAGGGCGGGTCTAAGGGTTAAGGAGCGGGCAGCGCTGGGGGTGAACGGCAGCGGGGGGACATTCCAGTCTGGAGCACTGTGCCACACAGAGGGACGCCGCCGGAGCAGGCCACCGGGCACAGCTGGGGAGGTCCGGATGTCTGGTGGGGGAGGGGCACAGTGAGAAGAGAGGCCAGAGAGGAAGTGCCCGGTGCTGACTGCTCCGCTTCTGGGCCCATTCGACCCGCCCCCGCACCGTTCCCGGGTCCTAGGGGTGGTGTCTCTTCAGGCTGAGCTCCTCCATCCGCCCCTCACCCCTGAGACTTAGATACCCCCCCGGAATCTGTGGTTCAAGCTTGGACGCACCAGGTGTCACAAAAGAGGCCATGAAGCTCTGGGCCTCCAGAGGGAGAGAGACCACGTCCCCCCGGAGGGGTCAGGAGGGGCCAGACGGTCTACAAAGAAGCTGATGCCAACAGTTCGGGATTCCACGTTCCGCGGGCCTCAACGCCCTCCTTCCCGTCGGGCTTTCTTCCCAGCCCTGGAACCACGGCCACGTCCTCCTGCGGCGTCCCGTCTCTCGCCGTTGCCCCAGGCCAGCTCACGGCCGTGGCAGGAGGGACAGTGGGCCCCTGGTCGTGTTCTCTCGAGTCCGAGCCGCTGAGGAGGAGGCTCTGAAATGTCAGCAGGTTCTCGTGTCCCAAGCAGCTGTCCCGGGAGGGCAGATGGCGGCTGTGATGAGAGAGTGACCGCAGACTCTTGTCGCCTGACCAGGATCTGGTGCAGGGAGCAGCTAGTGCCCCGAAGCTAGAGCCTGCACAGTGCACAGCTGGGGGCGTCCTGCTACCTGAGGTCAGCATCTGCCATTGCTCCCAAGGTCTGGCTCGCGGCCCAGGGCCTTGTCCCTTTGAGTCTTTGGTGCAGACGGAAACCTCCCTCTCTCCCCTCTGTCCCTCCCTCTCCCTCTCTCTCTCTCTCTCTCTCTCTCTCTCTCTCTCTCACGCGCACCTGTCCACATAACAAACACTGGAAATGTAAGTGCCAGATGGTGACTTTAAAAATAGCCCGATTTGCGGCACCCTGACAAACGTGCCCCCACCTCTTCCCCTTCGTCGTCTCCATTTCCTCCCCTCCTGCCTTCACTCTGCCCACGAGCAGAACGAGGAGAACCCGGCCCAGAAATGAAGCGGTTTCTCCGACAGCACATCTGCTGAGTTTGTCGCCACAAAGTCCTCGGGGTACAGGGTCCAAGGGGACAGCGGGCTCTCAGGCTCCACGCAAGGGGCGATGATGCCGATGTCCCCGAGGAGCCCAACAGTGCTGCTCCGAGAACTGTCTTCAGTGGTCCGTGAAAACCCTTTTCAATATGCCCAGAAAGCCCTGCTCTCGAGAACACCAGCCGCCGCCGTGCAACCGTAGAGCCGAACGCAGTTTCGGAAACTCTCGGCCCGGTCGCTAGGGACAACCCCAGACACGCAAAGTAAGCCACAGCCACGCTCCCGCCCTCCCGACTCACTGCACTTGGTTACTCTTGTGATTTCGGGTCGGTGGTGGCCTTTACCACCTCCCTTTAAGACAGCCTTTGTGGTTACATATGCTGGATCTGGAGAAACTCGGGTGTAAGCAAGGTCGTTTCTGTGGCGGTCCTGAGCTTTCAAAAACTGCGAGTCAGGGAGAGAAATCATAAAGCGCTCTCGGTGGTGAGGACGTTGGAAGTCGCCCTTCTGTGTGCTCCCTCAGCTGCACCTGTGCACAATGTCACCAGCCAGGGCTTTTGGTCACAGGGCTGCTAAAAGCAAAATAAATAACGCTCTCACCTTTATTCTGACTCATTAGCCAGGAGAACAACAGATCGGAGGGGAGACAGGGGGCAGGGGCAGGAATGCAGAGAGGGGGTGACCTGGCTCTGGTCAGTTGTACCCAACAGGTAGAAAAGGGGGTGCTCTCAGGATGGCCCCCCCATGTCTGCCCTGCCTGCCATGGCGCTCTGAGTGAGCTGCCTCCTGGCCTCAATCTCCATCTGTTCAACGCCACTGTCCTGCTGTGGTGTGAGGTCTCGGGCCGCCACTGTCCTGCTGTGGTGTGAGGACTCGGGCCGCCACTGTCCTGCTGTGGTGTGAGGACTCGGGCTGCCACTGTCCTGCTGTGGTGTGAGGTCTCGGGCCGCCACTGTCCTGCTGTGGTGTGAGGACTCGGGCTGCCACTGTCCTGCTGTGGTGTGAGGACTCGGGGCCTGAGTGCAGGTGAAAGTCAGGACCCGCAGAGATGCCGCCCCAGGGCAGAGGTTTGCATGGGGTGGTTTAGGCTCCGTTTCTTTGTCTTCGTTTACTATCTTTCTTCTTTGTAAGCTCTGCCTCTCCCCTTCCATCTCTTTTGTATTTTATTTTCTTTATTGATTTTTTTTTTTAGAGAGAAAGGAAGGGAGAGGGAGAGATAGAAACATCGATGAGAGAGAATGTGGATCGGCTGTCTCCTGCATCCCCCTGCGCCCCCCGGGGATTTGGTCCACAACCTGGACATGTGCCCCGACCTGGAATCGAACCAATGACCTCTTAGCGCATGGGTTGACGGTCAAGCACTGAGCCACGCGGCCGGGCTCTTTTCTATGTTTGTCTCCCATGTCTCTGTCTCGGCCGTGCTCTCTGTCTTTCGTCTCTGAGCCTGTTTGCTCTTTCTCATCAAGGGTGTCGGCTTCAGAGCATGGGGACACCTGTCCAGGCCCGGGACAGCTCCCAGGCCGGTAGGAACGCCACCTGGCAGTGGGAATGCCAAGTTCTGCCCTTTGACCTGTGACTCTGAAGAGGGAGCCAGGGCAGGACCTCTGCACCGTGCCCAGGGCCAGAAGTCTGGCTGGCGGCAGGCTGCCCACGCTCTCAGCAGGTCCCCGATTTGGAGGATAAAGGAAGGGACAGGGTGTCCACAGAGCATGCCACTCCCAGGAGGTGCGGCGTGTCCTTCCCGAAGGGGGCAGTTGTGTTCACCGCTCAGCAGTCACGCTCGCAGCCAGAGGTTCAGAGCTGAGTCTGTGACAGGCAGGGACGGACCTGAGACACCTGCCAGGTGTCGCAGAGAGGCCCAGGTCTGCTACGAAGGGTGGCACACTGTGACCCCTGCACATGCCACTTCGGCATGAGGGTTATTTTGAGCTGAAGGCACTTTACAAAAACAGCAGGTGCAAGGAGGGCGCTCGGACCCTCCTCTCTTTCTTCCGTAAAGTCGGAGATAAAACCCCAAAAGGAAGAGGCCTCCTTACACTGGGAGGAAAGCGACATTCTTATCATCAAGGACTAGAGTTCTCTGCAGACCTGTTTAATAACTCTGCTCTCCCTTAGCCTGCCGTGCGCTTGAGTCCCTCGTCCACGGCTGCCTCTCTTGTCCAGCCCCGTGTAAAGACCTTTGTGTTTCTGTTGCTTTGGGTCTTCGTTACTTTAGGAGGGCACCCGGGTCACGGAAAGCTGACAGTAAATAGATGCGTGTGCTCAGGGTTTGCCTCCCTTCACACACACACACACTCCCACACACACTCACATTCACACTCACACACACGTGCGGTCACATACGCACACTCACACACTCACACATGCACACCCATAGGTGCACACTCACACACACGTGCAGTCACTCCCACACACGTGCACAGTCGCACACACACTATTCACACACATTCACACACACGTGCACACGCACACTCACACACGCACACACTGAGGTAGGTACCTGAGTAGCAGTCATGGACTAGACCTGAGTCCCCCAGGGCCTGGCCTTTGGGGCTCCGCCCACTGGGCCAGCTTGGGGAGCTATTGCGCTGGGCTGCTCCCTGGTGGCCTCCCGCGAGCATTGCAGCCATGAAATTCGAAGCCGAGTTGCAGGTGAACCTCTCCTGGGTCCCAGGCCTATGGCTCCCTTCCTCCCCCACCTCCCCGGGGCCTGGAGTCTTGGTGGGCGGAGAGCACGGTGCTCTGAGGCCTGGAGCAAACTGCTGCGAGGAGGTGCTGGGGGCAGGGGCAGGTTGTCTAGACAGAAAGCTCAAGGATGTGAGTGACTAGCAGGCTTCCTGCTGGTGCGGCCTCAACTGCCAGACCCAGCTGCCCCTCGCCCTCCGTCCAGGCAGGGCTCCTGCTGGCCTGTGCGGGGTGTTGGGGATTAATGCGCTCACTCTGAAGCTCAGCCCTGCCCCTGCCCCTCCTGTGCCCCGGCCAGGCCCACCCACCTCCGGGTCCCTTCCCCTTAAGCCCTCCCTGCCGGAGTCTTCATGCCCTTCAAGCATGTCCCTCTCTCAGGCTCGGGTCTTGCTTCCTAGGCTGTAACTCACTTGTGGAAACAATATCCTCCCAGCGGTGAGATGCCACTTCCCCAGGGTACCACCCCCACCCCGCTCGCCCCTTTCCCCTGGATCCCACCCCCACCCCGCTCGCCCCTTTCCCCTAGATCCCACCCCCACCCCACTCGCCCCTTTCCCCTGGGTACCCCCCCTCTGCTCGCCCCTTTCCCCTGGGTACCCCCCCCGCTCGCCCCTTTCCCCTGGGTACCCCCCCCCCGCTCGCCCCTTTCCCCTGGGTACCCCCCCACTTGCCCCTTTCCCCTGGATACCCCCCTCTGCTCGCCCCTTTCCCCTGGATACCCCCCCCCCGCTCGCCCCTTTCCCCTGGGTACCTCCCCTCTGCTCCCCCCTTTCCCCTTTCCCCTGGGTACCCCCCCGCTCACCCCTTTCCCCTGGGTACCCCCCCCTCCTCGCCCCTCCCCAGCCCTTGTGCTGTGTGCTGTCCTGTCACCGGCGTAGATGGGGACTGACACGCTGGTCCCTGTCTGTGTACCACACCAGAGGAAAAGGTCGCGGAGAGCGCGCCTCTGGGACGTGAGGCTGGTGGCGACGGGCCCCGGTGACGAAGCTCTGGGCAAGTGCTTCAGGGACACTGCTCCTACCCTGCCCACGCCAGGCCACGCTCCAGGCAAAGAAACTGCCCGACCCCCAGAGTTCTCCCTCTTCCGCCACCCGGGGAGGGGCTGACGTCCCGAGCACCCTGGACACGGACCCTCTGTGGAGCCAGGGTCACGGTGTGTCACCAGCATCCGGGCAGGGCTGGCTTCTGGAGGGAGGAGGGCTCTAACGTGAACTCCCACGTGTGTCGGGGATGTAGGGATTCAAGGTGGTGGAGGAGGGGGTGAGAGACCGGAACAGGCTTGGCTCCCACGCAGGCTGAGCAGCAGCCCCTGGAGGGCTCAGGGAGACCCCTCGCCGGGAAATCTCAGTTTCCCTCTTTGATGGTTCTCACCCCAGGCCTTCATTCTCGGCTCTGGTGACAGGAGCCTGGGGACCGGGTGAGGGTGGGGCTCACGCATTCCTTCAGCGGGCCTGAGGAACACCTGGCCCTGCTCCTGTGCTGAGACAGGAAGTGCCTCCGGGGTCACATTCCTGTCGCCCCAGAGCACTACCGGTCTCTCGGCGATGAAAGAAAAAGCTCCTACCTTAGATAAGTCATCTGGAACTGGAAACAAGTTGGGCAAATTCATATCCTTCTTGGCAGTGGCAGAGGTTTGAGGGTATCTGCGTGATGCAAACAGAGCCAGTCAGAACCCCCGCTGCTGATGGGACGAGCCAGGCCCTGGCTGTTTCAGAGAGAAGCCAGGGACACCCTGGGAGCCCTCCCCAAGCTGGAGGACCGGCCACCCGGAGCTCCCAGGGATGGCTTTGCCTCACCCAGCCTTCTCTGCCCCTCTGGTTTCGAACTCCCCAGGGCCAGAGCGGAGTGTAGAGTGTCCGCAGGGAGGCAGGGAAAAGTTGTTCACAAAGCCGACGTGTGAGGGCTGAGATACACCAGCCCCTGCGGCAGGGTCCTCGGGCAGTGATGGCCGGTTAACGAGGTTAACGAGTGCCGACCTCTGACCTCTGACCTCGCGGCCTGGCCTGCATTTGCGGATCCGGGGCCTGCACAGGAAGCATCCACCCACCTCCTCCCTGGGACATTTCTCCCTCCATCCGCTTTTCCCTGGAGCTTTCTTTCCAGTCCCAGGTGAAGTGATGTTCTCCGTAGGGTGACCGGCCCGGCGGTGCTGGGGCCGAGGCACTGGGGGTCTGGTCCCCACCAACAGCGGCGTGCGCGGACCCAGCACGCCCCTGGCCGCCAAGAAACGAAACTGCTAGTTTTGCCGAGACACCTGTTCTCTCTGAGGACAGAATTCACGGCCATTGCTCTTTATAACAAGGCACGTGCAGCAGGGGTCAGGAGCTCGGGAGACGCTCCTTGTGTTACTTCGCCTCAACATTTCCCTGGGCCCCAGGCGAGCGGGAGGTGGGTTTGACTCGGATCACCTCTTTGACCTTGGACTTGACACCCAGATGCTGAGCAGGAGGGACCAGGGGCCTCTTTAGAAGGTTTCAGCACGCGGTCATCTACATGAACAGGACCTCGGTGTGGCCCAAGGGCTTTCGAGGCTGAGGATGAGGGTGGCGGCAGCGTAGCCAGGTCCACCCGAGAATCCTCCCAGCAGTGGGTCTGTCCACACAATGACCTTCAGAGCTGGTCTCCCCTCCTCCAACCCCTCGGTGGGTCTCCAGAGCTTGCCACTGTAGGGGGCGCTCTGAGCACATGTCACTACATGTTCCTCTCTTTTCCAACTGTCCTGTGCCACTGCTTGTGCAAGGCTAGCACACCTAGCACTTACACGCCCAGGTCTCAGAAAGGGTTTGCCGACAACCAGCAGCTTGGAACCCAGAGCTTCGGCCAGACGAGGAGCTTCGAATCCTCAGGAATTGTTGCTACTTCCACAACCCAGCCTTTGAAGAGACTGCAATCCCACCGGTCCTCCGGAGAGCTCAGGGCCCCGCGCGGGCGCGGCCCAGTCTGTCTGGACTTCCTGGGAGGAGGTCGCTGTCCAAGTCCTCCCAGTCCAGACAGGTGGGGAGCTGCTCTGGCTACTGCAGGCCACTCTCCTCCTCGAGACTAGCTGGAGCCCCCCTTCCCGGCGGAGCGTCCCCTCTGACACTCAGGACCTGGCCGCGACAGTGAGCGGGTTCCGAGGGCGCCCAGTTATGTGCTGGGCCTGCCTTGGTCAAACCCCTGCCCTGCGCCTCCTCCCACCCCCACCAAAGTCTATCATCAAGAAACAAGGGAGCTGGGGGAGAGAGAGCCAGCGCAGGGGCGCACGGCTCCGGGCTGTGGGCAGGTCCTGTGGGCACGGGGACGTCACCCTACTTAGATGTCGAACACTAGGCATTTCATATAAAAATCCAGATTTCAGCTCTGGCCGGTTTGGCTCAGCGGTTAGAGCGTCGGCCTGCGGTCCAGAGAGACCCGGGTTCGGTTCCCGCTAAGGGCACGTACCTCGGTTGCAGTTTGTCCCCAGCCCTGGTTGGGTCGTGTGGGTGGCAACCACTCAATGTGTCCCTTTCACGTTGATGTTTCTCTCTCTCTCTCCCTCCCACTCTATCTGAACAAAAAAATGGAAAAATGTCATCAGGTGAGAAAAATAAATAAATTAATTAAAAAAATCCAGATTTCAGGTTTTGTTAGGAAAAACCAGCAGCTCTGGCCCTGGAGTCGCACACCTGCCGGCAACGTTGACTGGGGCAGAGGCCGGGCTGTGTCCTCTTGCCAGGGAGCTGATGTCCCCTTCTGACCAGCTCTGCCCACGTATGCCATATGACGGCCGATGTCAGGTGAATTTGAACCCCGGTCCCGATTCAAAGATGCTAAACTGCTGTTACTCAGGCTGCTGCTTCAGGTGCTAACAGCTCTTAATGAGAACTCCGGCACCTGTGTTTTTATTTCATAAAACAAGCCTTCGGGTTGATTGAATCCCTGATTGCCTACTTTATACTAAGGCATCAGCTAGAGTTTATAGATTTATAAACGCTGTAGGTATACTCAACGTTATGTAAAAATAACGGAACCGAAGAACAAGCGCTTCATAGATGCTCTGAAAATACTCACAACGCTGCTTACTGAGAATGGGGTTTTCAAAGGTGCAGAGCACAGGTAGACGTTACTGAAGAGGGACGTGGAGAGGATGTCCCTCCCCGCGAGTCACTTATTTATGGACAGGAGGGTACGTGACAGTTGCCAACGGGAGGAAAAACTCTTTGGAGAGAGTACGACTCCCTAGCAATTGTGCACACGCCAGGGAGCCCACCTGTCATCTGCTCCCCCCACCCCAGAGCAGGGGACCCCACCACACCCAGGGAGCAAACATGGGAGGAACGAGGAACCCCGCGTATGTCCAGCAGCAGCCCTGGGAGGCTCCCTGCCCACGAATCCCCCCGGCTTATGAAATAGCAGAAACTTGCTCCACAGCAGTGGCTTTGGAAGGGGCAGGACTGGGGAGATGGGAGGAGGTCTCAAACTTACACGCAGGCCGTGGCTACCCTATGGAGACCTATGGAGACAGGAATGTGTGGTTCCAGACTTTGGATGGTTAAAATTTGAACAGGTCAAATTAAGGCAGAGGAGAAGAGGTAGAATAACGGGGATGAGGAAGGCGTTTTGAGAGGTGGTGTCCAGGGTAAGAATTCTCTTGATAGCTGGTGGTGGTGGCAGAAAGGGAAGTCACTTGAGATGTCACCCCCTCCAGCCCAGCCTACACCAGAGCCCACTTCTGTCGGGAGGCACCCAGCCCACAGTCTGCTTTCTGAGTGCATGATTGGGTTTCTCAACTGACCAGAGGCGTTTTTCTGATAACTCCCCACCCCCTCTTCCTAAGAAAGCCCCAGTAGCTGAGACGTTACCTTTTGGGGAGGCTGGGCACTAGGGGCTTGTTTCTGAGGCTGGCCTCACAAAGCCAGGGAATGTTGTCAAACTTGGGAACAGAAACCTGGAGAGAAATAGAAAGAGATCGTTTTGCAGAATCCATTGCGCTTGACCCTTGCCGCCCTCTGCTGTGACCAGAGCCAGCTGACAGCAGCAGCTAGACAGCAGCCAGTACCTTTCTGTCACTCACAGTTGACTCTTTTGAGCCTCCCATAAAGTGGCCACGAACAAATAGTGCCACACCCATTTTACAGAGGGAGAACAGGACGCTCAGCCCGTTTGCCGGGGCTCCCCGCACCGCTGGGGAGTGGATCCCCATGTTCGACTTTTGTGGCCACTGTGTCTTGTGTTCCCCCGCCCTTTGCTTCTGGGTCACGTCTGTCTGTGTACGCATCCTCGGGTGTTTCCATGCACCCCGCTGAGGATCAGCCACCTGCTAGGCAAAGTCCCGGCCTGTGCCCGCCACCCTCACGTCTTCTCCGAGGCAAAGAGAAGAACCACCTGTGAACTGTAGACAGTGGGACATTCGTCTTGCACATCTACTTCCCAGCTGTGTGGCCTCGGACCAAGCACAACCTCTCTGAGCCTCGGTTTGTCCCCTATGAGGGCGGGAAAACCATCAATGCACAGGACAGAAAGCTCCCAGACAGCAGGGATTTCATCCACCGCTGTGTCACCAGCACCTAAAACAGCGCTTGGTCCTTGTAGGAATTTGGTGACTGTGTGGAAAGGATGCCCGGATCCTGGGAAGTCCCCAGCCGAGGGCTTGACTTCATACTAGGAGCTCAATACAAGAAGCCGTGGTTCTCTCTCTTCGTCCAGCCCAGCCTCCGCCGCAGCCCTTCGGATGCCAGGTCCCCTGTGTTTCGGTGGCGGGTGGCTTCCCTGGGCTCCGCGCCTGCGGTCCTCGGGAGGGCGAGCGGCAGTTCCACGAATGGCCACGAGGGGCAGCAGCGAGCGCGCCGGCGCGGGGAGGGCGCTCTGGCCGCGCAGCCCGCGGCGGACCCGGAAGTGCTCGGCCGCCGTCCGACCCCGGCGCCCCGGATGGGGAAAGAGGTGGGCGTCGGTTCCCGGCCGGGCTCCCCTGCGAACGGGCGGGCAGCCGGGTTCCGAGCGGCCGCCGGCCTTGGCTTCGCGCGTGGGCTGGCGTTGCTGACGCCTAGTTGTCCCACGGTGACCAGCGGGCCACCGGCCGCGATCCCCGCAGGGCTTTGTAAGTGGGGTGATCGCGCTTTGGAGGAGGGTCACCTCCGGGAAAAGGTCGTTGGTTTCTTTGAGCCCCTGGCTGAGCCCAGAGCCCTGCGACCTGTCCCTAGTCTCGGCTCAGGGGGCAGCACAGGCACGCAGTGGCCGGGCTTGGGGACGCTGCGAGCCCGTCCACCGACCCCAGGGGTGCGGACCCCGAGTTAGGAGCCGCTTTGGAGGGAGGCGCGGGCTGCGGGGTCAGACTTTGCATCTGCTCCGCCCTGGACCACGTCGGCGAAAGTGACCTGAGCACTTGGAACCCCAGCTTTTCCACCGAAGTGGGCCTGGCACCAACTGGAGAGGGAAGGGGCGAGGTGGGGCACCCAGCACACCCAGGCACCTGGGACGTGACAGCTGACAGGTGTCTGTTGTCACCCAACGGGAGATAAAAATCCGAAAGGAAGTCTTGGTGTCTGTTATTATAAGAGGGCTAACATATATAGTTTGCCCAGACTTTTCATAAAGTGAGTTGGTTTGATTTTCACTCTGCCCTGCCCTGTGACCTTCACCAGCGTGACCGGTTCACAGCCTGTCTTTTTCTAGGAACTTGGCCGCGTTGTCTGGCCTCAGAGAAGAAACGCGTCTCTCGCAGGCCTTGCCAGGGTTGCTGCCTTCGCAAACGGAAGACTGGCCCAGTACCAGCCACACACGGCCTGGAATTTCCCAAGAGGTCTCATGTCAAGACTTTCTAAAGGACCAGAACCGTGTGGACTTCTGCACGGGACACTGCACTGGCCTGAGTCCGAGGGAAAGGATAATGTGTGCCCAGCCTGTAACTGACACCCCCGAGACCAGGTGGCAGAAGGTCCTGTATGAGCGACAGCCCTTCCCCGACAACTACGTGGACCAGCGGTTCCTGGAGGAACTCCGGAAGAACATCCACGCCCGCAAGTACCAGTACTGGGCTGTGGTATTTGAGTCCAGCGTGGTGATCCAGCAGCTGTGCAGTGTCTGTGTTTTTGGAGTCATCTGGTGGTATATGGACCAGGGTCTTCTGGCCCCCCATTGGCTTTTTGGGACTGGCCTGGCTTTGTCCCTGATTGGCTATGTTTTGTTCGACCTCCTGGATGGAGGCGAAGGACGGAGGAAGAGCGGGCGGACCCGGTGGGCGGACCTCAAGAGCGCCCTGGTCTTCATCACGTTCACGTACGGGTTTTCCCCGGTGCTGAAGACGCTGACCGAGTCCGTCAGCACCGACACCATCTACGCTATGTCGGTGTTCATGCTCCTAGGCCACCTCATCTTCTTCGACTACGGCGCCAATGCTGCCATTGTGTCCAGCGCCCTGTCCTTGAACATGGCCATCTTCGCCTCCGTCTGCCTGGCCTCACGCCTGCCGCGCTCCCTGCATGCCTTCATCATGGTGACGTTCGCCATCCAGATGTTTGCCCTGTGGCCCATGTTACAGAAGAAACTGAAGGCGTGTACTCCCCGCAGCTACGTGGGGGTCACGCTGCTCTTTGCGTGCTCGGCTTTGGGGGGCCTGCTGTCCATCAGCGTGGTGGGAGCCACCCTCTTCGCGCTTCTGCTGGTGTCCATCTCCTGCCTCTGCCCTTTCTACCTCATTCGCCTGCAGCTTTTGAAAGAAAACATTCATGGGCCTTGGGATGAGGCCGAGATCAAAGAAGACTTGTCCAGGTTCCTCAGCTAAGTCAGGGGCCGCGACTGCACTACTTGGGCAAGCTGGTAGACCCGCCTCCCAGCTGGGGTCCGAGACCCGTCCTGGGAGCAGCAGCAGGTGTGGGTGGGAGAACAGAGGTCAAAGAGGTGAACCAAAGGCTCGCGGGGGCGAGGGTGCTGATCCTTTCGTTTGGTGGGTGAAGCAGCTTTCTGGGGCTCTGAGGGATGAATGCACCCATGTATCACTCACCGGAACAGATGAAGTGATGTCTTCCTATTTATTAAAAACTAACAATATATCCAGCAAATTGCATCTTGATTTTTCTGTAAGCAGAAGGCAGAAGGGGCCTGAAGAGTGAAGAGATAATAAAAGTGCGTGTGCGTGCGTGCGTGCGAATAAAGTCACTGCTCTAACCCTCTCAAGGGACTAATCAGGGTCCAGTCCTAGGACCCTCGATGCTACGTTCAGTTTTGTTGCCTAATCTACAGAATTGGTTGCTTAACCTTGACTCAGAGTTTCTACTTAATTCTTAGTGAAACACGTATGTGCCGTATTACACGGCAAAATGCTGGGGGAATGAAAGAGGCTGGAGGTTAATATCTTCCCCGTGTTACCCCAATTTACTGGGCATGCATCTGTCTCCCATGTGTCGGATCGCCGTGGAGAGCAACGTCGTAGCTCCCTGGTGGTGCCGCGCAAATGAGATGCCTGAAACTCTGGGCCGCCCCTTGCTCCTTTCCTGTGGTTGATAACTAGCCAGCCGCAGTCGTACAGGACGAGAGGCAAGGCTAAGGAACGGGAAATCACGATCCTACTCCCCTACTTGGGGTGGAGGAGGGGACACTCCAGGCTTGACAGAGATTGAGAATGTCATGTCTGAGGAAACAGAATTTTGCCAACTGGAATTAGATGAAAATCTTTTTTTTTATTTTTATTTTTATTTTTTATCCTCACCCGAGGATATTTTCCAATTTTTTGTACAGATAGAGTGGGAGGGAGAGAGAGGAAGGGAGAGAGAGAGAGAAACATCGACGTGAAGGGACACATCGAGTGGCTGCCACCGCACGACCAACCAGGGCCGGGGACAAACTGCAACCGAAGTACGTGCCCTTAGCTGGAACCGAACCCGGGTCTCTCCGGACCGCAGGCCGACGCTCTAACCGCTGAGCCAAACCGGCCAGGGCTAGATGAAAATCTTAAGAGGCCACTCTGTATTCTAACTAAACCAAGCCTCCAAGGCAAAGCTACCTCTTTCTCCTCACTTGGATAAAATAAGTAAATAAATAAAGAGGCTGGAGGTCCAATTGAGCTGGAGTGTTAGGAAATGTTTACTGGAGGAGATGGCATTTGAGGTTAGCCTGGAGGGCAGGCGTGACTGAAGTGGGCAGAGGTGGTTTCAGGGCAGGTGTGCCCTGTCCCTTGATGGTCTGATTGGAATTTGGTCTGGTCTCAGGTCTTTAGAATGCCAAGTAAAATCCTACCTGAGCCCTGGCCAGTTTGGCTCAGCGGTTAGAGCATCAGCCTGTGGACCAATGAGCCTCGGGTTCGATTCTGGTCAGGGGCACGTACCTCGGTTGCGGTTCGTCCCCGGCCCTGGTTGGGTCGTGCTGGAGGCGGCCAGTTGATGTGTCCCTCTCACATTGATGTTTCTCTCTCCCTCCCACTCAATCTGAAGCTAAATGGAGAAATATCTTCAAGCGAGGGTTTAAAAAAAAAAAAAATTCTACCTAAAATCCCAATAGCTGTCAATGTGATCTTTAATCTGAAATATGACTTGTGGATTCTGTCAAATTATAACCAGACCTCCAACACACCTGCAGGCAAAACGTGCTCAGCACTGAGGCACATCTGTTCTTAGCACAGCACGGAGGCGGGAGGGCCTGATGGGAGCCAGGGTTGCAGGGATCCGAGGAAACGGTGGAAGGGGAGGCTGGATGAACAATTAGGAGTCTGAATGTTTGGGAGTCTGGGCTTTAACCTGCAGGTAATGAGCGGTCCAGCTGGTCCAGGGGGAGTAATCATCAGATCATAGGCTAGTTACTTAAATGCACCGTGTTTCAGCCTTTTCATCTGGGAAGTACCTCTAGAACTGTGAAGATTACATGAGGTAGATGCAAAGGGCTTGGAAGAATGCTGGACACAGCACTGCGTCGTTAGCCATCATTACTGTGGTTGCCAAGGTGACCGTAGGAGCCTGGCAGAGACAAGATGCAAAGTGCATCGAGCGCCCCCAGAAGAGCTGGTCCCCCATGAAATCATTCGCTTGGGGCAAGTTCCTGTACTATCCCTCCTCTCTAGAAATTAATTTCAGATCACGTCTCATCAGGGCACTCGCATTCCTAAGAAGGAGTGTTTGCATTCCTCTGAACACAGACCTCTCAGAGATGTCTTGAGCCCTGATTTTCATCGGGACTGATAACTAGAAAATCAAAATGCGAAGCGTCAGAGGGCAGGGAGGCTGCCTACAGAAAGGGGTCGGGAGTGGAACGGGGAGCCTGGAAGGAGGGCTCCAGGGGGTACCGGTCATGGCCTGGAACCCTGTTACGGGCACAGGTGACTGTGGGTTCGTTGCACAGATCGTGCCAGAGTGGAGCACACCCCCTTTGGAATTTGAGCAGAGCCGGTGCAAGACAAACGACAAGACAGTTCTACACGCTTTCTGCGTGTCATGCCGAGAAGTTTCATAGGCGAGGGACATAAATGGATTCAGAAAAGGTTTGGGAAAAGATGCAAATTAAAAAGCCATAACTGTTTTGTAAGAGAATTTTGAGAAGTCCCAAGCCTTCGGTGCTGTGACGGGAAGAACTGAAGGGCTCACTAGGCGTGTTTCTCTGGTCGGGCTGGCGTGGGGATGCATGGCCGGGACACCCACGCTGTGACCTGGACACTGGGTGGGGACACTTCTCATCACTGAAGCACAGTGATGCGGCCAGTCTCTTAAATTTAAGCCACCCTGAGAGGGTGCAAGTAGAAGACGGGTGGGCAAAAGTAGGTAATAAATAATACAATAATTAAATAATAACACAAGAATAAAGAATGAAATAATATAAGAATAAGGAATGAAATAATACCAGAATAAACTGTTTTGCCTATTCACAATTGTAAACATACTTTTGTCAACCCTGCATTAATGATTTAGATTCCCAGAGAATAGTATGGGGGGGGGGTGTAAAGGGAGTCACAGTAGCTTCGGAATTTAAACTCCAGCTTGTCACTAATTGTGTGTGTGTGAGCTGCCTGCCTCCCCCTGCGCACCCTTCCTCCTGGCTCTGCTTCTCGTCTACCTTGTAGGTAAGTCTGGGGTTGGCTGCTGGTAGCAAGTGAGAGCAAGGAGGGCAGAATGGGGAGGCCCATTCCTCCAACATGGTGCCAGGGATTGTAGCTGGGACGGAGGGATCGAGGACAGGTAGAGCTACAGGGCGACAGGTGTGCTTTATCTGGGGGCATGATGTGCTAGGGGACTGGCATGTAGCTAGAAGGCTGCGCAGGGATCTGAGTGTAGCAACACGCCGTGGTTCTGCCCGGCGACCACACCGGTGTAGTGCTGTGCCTGTACGCGATATCAGTTCTCCAGACTCCTGAGCCTTTGGGCAGCTGGCTTGTGTGGATTTAAGAATTCGTGCTAAGCGTATTTGAGGAAGCACATGGAGCCATCATTTACACCTAATGTAAGCCAGAGGCTCAAGGTCAAGAAAAACAAAAACAAGCCAGCAGAGGGCATCAGTCACTCAGTTTTACAATTTCAAACGGGTTGAATGCAGGGAACCGGGCGGGACACAGTGCCACCTTGTGGAAGCTATTGATGTTCCCTCTTATAAATACATGGAGCAAGAGTCTTGGGATTCTCGCTGAATTGTGGTTTGGGAACTAGCTGAGGTCTCCACCAATTCAGGAAATAAACAGCACAGTGGTATTTGATAAATGATCATAGCTACATTTTCGAGCACCCAGTGTGTACCAGGCCCCGTGCTGGGCATTCTATACACATTGTTCTCTTAACAACCCTGTCATCCGGGTATTCTTTTCATTTTAAAGGTGAGGAGAATGAGAATTCCCCCAACATCTAACGAAATCTTTACTGTCTCTACCCACTTTCGACCATTCACATTTGATGATGTTCGGCCTGAGGAGTTTTATTCAACAGCTACTTATTAAGCACTAACCACAGGATGGCTACTGTGTCGTGTGCTTGTGATGTGTCTACACCGAACACAGCCGCGGCCTTGACCTGGAGCTTACGTGCTGACAGGAGAAGACGGAGAATAGACGGGAGGGGGGAAGAGCAGTGTATTAACTCGGGGGGTCACAGGTCTCGCGGGAAAGGTAGCATTTAAGCAAAGACCGAATGGTGGCGAGGGAATGATCCAGACTCTCGGAAAGAGTGTTCTAGGAGGAGGCGAGAGTAGACGGAAGGGCCCTCGGGAGTCTGGAAGCTAGTTTTTCCGTCGTGTTATTTGCAGCTTCAAAAATATGCTCTGTCGTCCGCTGTCGCCCACTTTGGTGACTTCTCTGTGACTATCTTGAGGATTCTTCAAGTCTTTCTGCCCCTCCCCCCACACCCCAGGTTTGCTAGGGGGTTCTAGACTCTGTGCCTGCCCAGGGCTTGTGTTCACCAGGGGCATTGAAGATGGGAACGGGTTGAGGACCAGGACCTGACGCAACGTACTGTACAACTGCACTTGATTAAAAACAACTGGAGCTGTAGTTTTTAGTCTTGACTCATTCAATAGCCGCCCCCTCATCTGATCTTCACGTGTCAACAGGATTGCGGTTCCACAGCAACCTGGAGTATGAAAACCCCAAACAAAGGGTGTCCACACTGGTGCTGGGGGTGGCTGGCGGGTCAGACGCAGACTGTCCTATTGCCACAGAGGCTGTCTTCTTTTCCAGAAATCTTCTCTTCCTGAGGGTTTTAAAAAATGGATTCCCAGTCGCAAAGGTCTACGTCAGAATCTCATGGAATTGAACCAAGGTTCCAGTATCCATTTTCTGAGTTTTTTTTTTTTTAAATAGTACTTGATGTTGAATTATAAAACACATGATGGCCAATACATTGCAGGAGGGTTGGCTTGGGGGGGGGGGGGTAACTTTTTTTTATTATCTTTGTTGTTGAAAGTATTACAGATGTCCCTTCAAGAAAGGAAGCCCACGGGCCCCTCCTCCCGGCTCTCCTGCCCCGCCTTCGCTGTACGACTTGTCTGTGTCCATTGGTTGTGCATGTACAGCAGGTCTTGGTCTGCGGCGAAAAGGGTAGAAGTGCCTCACACTCCAGACCCACGGACAGACAGACGCTCTCTCCCTATCTCCCGCGGCTTTTAGCTTCGGGGTGTTTGCTGAAACTTCCCCATCCGTGCACCTGCGGTGCCCAGAGCCCACAGACGCTCAGTTACCAGGGAAACTGGGCGAGGGAAGGATGGGAAGTCTGACTTTCCTTACCCTGAGTTCTCTCCTCTCCATCTCTTGGGCGTCTGGCTTCCTGGCTGGGCCGGGAGCTGGCGCCCTCGACGGCTGCGGGGAAGACGCCGGAGCACCTCTGCGGGGAAGCCCGTCCTCAGGAGCCAAAGCAGAGCTGACGGGGACAACTCCAGTCTCAACACCGCGGCGGCCGTGTCTCCACGGGCCCCGAGCGATGTGGAGTCTGGTGTTCTGCTCTTCCCCCCCCCAGGAGCGGCTTGGTGGCCGATTGGCTGCGGCGAGTTCTGCGGCCCCCCTCTTTGTCAGAGGTCAGCGCCAGCACGTTCTAGAACGTGGGTGGGGGGAACCTGGTTCTCGAGCGCAAACAGCCTGTGCCTTCTGTCAGCTTCTTTGACCCCGTCCCTCCCCTGGGGCTCCCAGTCACGAGGACATGATTATGAATTCAAGGAAGGTTCGAGGCATAAACAAAGGGCTGCGGATATTTAAGAAATGCTCTGTTTATTACGGGCGTCATGGTTTGTTCCTCTTGATGATCCGAGTGACGGTCAACGCTGAAGAATGCTGGACTTTTTTAACTTGCGAATGTTGAGGGAGCAGGTGGGGGCAGGGAACTCGGGCAGGGGTATCCTGAAACTCAGAAACACCACAAACAGTACATAAATACGAACCAGCCCTCACATGCTCACTTTGCTCCAGGCTGCCCCCTCCCCACCCTTCCCGTGCCCACCTAAGTGAGGAAGCGACCACACTTCCTTCTGGGGTGGGCACAGCTGCCCAGGAGTTGGTTCCTTCTGCTACGACTCGCGTTTTCCTTTCTTACTCTTCACTGGCCAACTTACGTTTTGAAGTCCTCCGACCCGTGTCACACTGCAGGTGATGATAAGCCCGTGTTGAAGGCAGTGGAAAGGTACCAAACACCTACAACAAAGTGAACCGACGAACACCTTCCCTTTGAGAACTTCCGTTTTGGTTTGGGGAGGTCGTGTGAAATCATCCCGGACCCTGTGTGGCGCAAAGGCTCTCAGATGGGAACCCCACCCCGTGAAAGATGGGTGACACGCTCAGCCCCGGGGCTGCAGGTGAAGGGGCGCGGGCTGCACGCCTCGGTGCCTGCGTCCGCTCAGCCTCCGTGGGGCTTGAGCTTCCGCTGACCGCCCTCTGCCTTGGGGGCCTTGACTCTTCTCAGTCACCAGTGCTTCCAACTCGCATCCCTGGGCCTGGGACACAGGTCACGGCTGATGTATCGGTGTCACGGGAACATTTGGACCGGAGGGATAAACTGGTTTTGCAGTTTTGAGTGGAGGGCACAGTCATTAAGAAAGATTTTTTTTTTTATGGTGCAAAGAAAGAGCGTTGTCAGTAAGGGGTCCCCACTTCTGAATTGGGGTTCCTGCCCCTAGGTCCGCATGGGCTCCGCCAGAGCTGGCCTGGGGTGCACGCAGAGGAAATGGAGCGTCAGTCCTGACGAAACATTGTATTTGACTCCCTGTCCTCTCGTTTTCTGATTCATGTGCTGCAGGGAGGTGCATTCAACAGCGATCTCCCCCAATAGGAGACACTTCTGAGTGCTGATTAGACTGTGCTAGTCTTCAGAAAGGAAATTCTGCAGTAAATCAAGCCTATGGGAAGGGTTCAGAGCACAGGTTTGGTGTGGTGGAGTCTGTTACCTTAATAATAAACATTTTATTTGGATAAACCTTTGGGTATTTTTTTTTTTTTTAAATAATAGTTTAAGATTTCAGTGTTGTGATTGCCACTTGAGGATTAAGGTATATATAAAAAAAATCTATTTCCTTCCAAAACTCATATAGATTCAATTCTTCCAGTACTTGACTGACATCATGAAGAGTCTTTCTTCTCAAGGGGTCAACCTTTCCTTGCCTTGGACTTTTATTCTGAATGGTATTTTCCCTCTAAATGTGCTGAAACAGAATGTGTCAGGCTTACGTGTTTAGGACCTACCATTTCTTCCATGAACTTACATATTTTATCTCCTACAGGAGTATTCAGAAAAAGAATAAAAACAGCAAACTGTTGCCCTGGCCGGTTTGGCTCAGCCATTAGAGCGTCAGCCTGCGGTCCAGAGAGACCCGGGTTCAGTTCCTGCTAAGGGCACGTACCTCGGTCGGCCCTGGTTGGGTCGTGTGGGTGGCAACCACTTGATGTGTCCCTTTCACGTCGATGTTTTTTTTTTCTCTCTCTCTCTCTTCCTCCCTCTCCCTCCCACTCTATCTGAACAAAAACCAAAAAAAAAATGTCCTCGGGTGAGGATAAAAAAACCCCAAAAAACAGCAAACTGTTTTTGTGCGATAATAATTATTAATGGGATTCTTGGAGGCAGGTTGAAATTGATGTTTTCTTTTTTAGACACCCAGAGTTTTCCTACATCTTTTCACACTTTTATTGGACAGACATTTTGATCGCAGATAGCTTATTATTCACACCACACAGGATCTTTATTAAAAATATGTTTTTATTGATTTCAGAGAGAGGAAGGGAGAGGGAGAGATAGAAACATCTATGAGAGAGAAACATTAATCAGCGGCCTCCTGCACACCCCCTACTGGGGATCAAGCCCGCAACCTGGGCACGTGCCCTGACTGGGTATCCAACTGGTGACTTCTTGGTGCCTGGGACGATGCTCAGTCCAGTGAGCCACACCAGCCAGGCCTCAAACCAAATAGCATCTTAAATCACAATGCTTTAAGAACTTAAAATCCATCTTTTTTCAATGTAATCTCCTTAAAAGAGAACATTATGTATTTTTCACCTTACCTGGTTTTAGTTGAAACAAACTCTTCTTTTAATTTGGATTTTCTTTAGAAAAAAAAAAGAAACAGGACCCATTTCTCTTTTTTATATATAGAATAAACTTTATTTTTATTATAGACATGGATCAAAAATAAAAGTCCTTAAGTGCATACGACATACAGTGCAAACGAAAGGCCGTGAAGCACATGGAGGGACATGCGCTTGGAAACGAAAGGACATGGATGATGGGGGTTAGGATGGTCGTCCCGGAACGGCAGGAGGGGGTCGCCTAGTAAAAACAAAACAAAACAAAATAACAAAAAGAAAAAAACACAGATGCAGAGGAAGAAAGCAATGTTTGACTCATAAAACAAATCCATATAAGAGCATGCAAAATTACCCCACAGAAGTAAAATTCAAATCAGACCAGAAAAGCATGCAGGCGTGCGTGGACACGGCAGAACACCACGCGGCAGTCAGCGGTCCCCAGGACTTTCTCTGGCTCTCTCAGCAGTGTGCTGGGTACGAGCCATCTGAGTCCACTCCCAAGTCTTACTTCGTGGCAGGGAATGCGGAATCCGTGCGCTCACTGGGCACAGTACCAGAGCCAAACACCTTTATAAGTGGAGTATTTGTTTCCCAGCCTGACTTTGGGACATTCGCTTATTTCCAAATATTTTGATAAATGTGAAATCTCCATAGGGGGAGAGGGAGTTGATACAGAAATATGACAGGTGGCATTTTTCAAGATGAGGGTCATGGGAAGGTGTCAAGAGAGCAAATGAGCTACGTGATCACAATGCAGAAGATGTCAGGGTTGGAGCAAAGGATTTGTAGATGAGGATTTGCTCCGGGTGGATATCCTGATGGGACAGCCTTTCTGGGCCCCGGGAGACTACAAGGTGAGACCTGGTCCACAGTGACCCCAGGGTTCTGTAGGATTTCCCTCTGTCGCGAAGCCGGGTGCCCGGCGTTCTGATCGGTTCTGAACGGGGCCCAGGGTCAGTGAGATGTGAGGACCCTAGCCTGGCTCGTGTCTTGTCGGGCCCACGGTTTTGCGACAAGCTTCCAGGGCTGGGCTTCGTTTGGACATCAGCGTCTCTGGATGTTCCGCCACTAGAGAGGGTCCAGTGACGTCTCCAGCGCCCCCCACGCTGTGAGCAGCAGGACAGCAGGTCAGGCGAGGCCTCCCCGCTGGCCCCCGGCAGAATGTGTCCTTCTGTTTCCTCTTTCTAACCAGATCAGGAACAGACATCGTTACCGCAAGCCCCGAGCCGTGGGCGAGCTCGGGGGCCCTCCCCTGGGGGCACGTCTTTGGGGCTACGTGGTCAACAACATACTCACTTCCACCTTACTCTTGTAACCCTTCAGTGAGTGGAGCAATGAAGTCTACAAAAAAAACAAAAACAAAAACAAACGTCGTTTTCATCTTTTCTGAGATGTTAAGGAGCCAAAAGGACGGGGCTATTTCTGAGCAGTGCTAAAGAAGATGATCTCACCTCCCCACAAGTCCAAGACCAACTTTCCTTTGGTCCAGTTTAAGCTGGCTGCACGAAAGAGGCCTCCCGTCCACACAAGTGATCGGTGGAGAACTTACTATGGGAGCCTAACCTTTCATGTGCGGAGGGCGGGGGCCTGCGAATGAACCTTGGGTGCTGGGATCCAGGTAATGGGCATCCCGTGTGTTTTCGTGAAGCAAGTGGAATTAAGGTCCAGGCAGGCTCAGTGAGATTGGTTACCTGCCCACAGACAGACTATTTCTGAGTTCTGACAGGGCTTTGGGACCCATTAATGACCTCAGCAGGGTGGGAAGGTGAGCCATTAAACCAACCAGCTGGCAGGTGTCCCCGGTGCTGAAGGGACATTCTGTCTGCATCTGCCAAGGTCCTTTTCTGCTGGACAGTCCGGTGTTCCAACCTGGACTCAGGACCAGAGACTCCACGTCTCGGAGTGTATTTCACCGACAGCGAGGACGTTTGCTTCCGGCCTCGGGACGACGTCGCATCCCCTCAGACGACGTTCTTTTCCACTTATCCTGGGTCCCACGTTCCTCGCGGTGCCCAAAAGGCATTGTTGAGGCCGGTACCGCCCCCGGCTCAGAGTCCGTTCTGTCATGGATCTCGGCATTCGGGGTTTGCTATTCCTTTTCCAGAATTTTCTATTGCTTATGCCATGCTGAAGTGCCCGAAGGCCAGTCCTGAGGCCATCTGGGCATTTTTATACAAAGAGTTTCAAAGATACCTCATGCTGTCGCTGCCTCGAATGTAGAAGTCATCGTGCTGAATTCGAAC